GCGATGGACTGCTCCGATTCGTCTTTCACACCCTTAGCGGGCACGAAATCGCCAAAACCTGCAAATTAATTAATTTAATTTTTTTTAATATATTATAATTAAAAATGTTTTCACTATAATTTAAGATGTGTATAAGAGACAGCTTTTTATATTTGTTTTAAAAAATTAATTTTTTATTTTTAATTAATTTAATTTTTTTTTTTGTTTTATTTTTGCTTTTTTAATTTTTTGTTGAAAAAGAGCCTATTTCACTCACTACAGATAATGGTATTTCCATCTATGAATTTAGTGGACAATTGCAAACTCTACAAAATGCCGCGTGTGTGTGTGTACAGGGTTGCCTAGCCAAACGATTAACAACTTTTTAGCAAATCCTTTTAACTATTAGCAAGCTGGTTAATCCAAACCACATAGTTAATTATGGAAACAGCAGCATTTTTGTTTTTCCTTGTGCATTCAATCGCATAATTTCGAACAATTTTCAAAATTACAACTAAAACAACAACATAAACTTTAACAATTAATCAAAGCAAATCGTGATTTGTACTCACTGCCACTGCCACTAGCACAACAACAAAAACAACAACAACTAAAACTACTACCACAATCACAACAACAACAACAAGTAAATGCCAACCACTACTACTCTACTCTACTCTACTGTCTTCTCTCTTTAATTGCAGTTAAGGAGATTGGAAACGGTCGATCACCGCTGCTACAAGAGCCGCTCTATGGAACACGCCCACAACCCTACAGTGAGTAGTAGTTTCGAATTAGTTGCAAAACAAACAAAAACAAATTAGTGTTCCTCCATTTTAAAAGAAAACATGCACACGCCTTGCGACACACACACACGCACTCACACACTTATTGAACGAAATTTCGATAAGTTTTTATGTGTTAGTGTTCGATTATGAATTTAATTAGCTGAGTTTGTTTGATAATCAAGGGAGTGGAGCCTATTTTTATTCTGTGTTGTTGTTTTTTCCTTATTAGAGATGAAGTTGTTAGGTGAGCGCATTGGTTTTGGGTACGTAATTTGAGCATACATTTTGTTGTTGTTGGTTTCTGTGATTTATTTTGAGTGGACTTTTAAAATAATTTTTTGTTTTTGCTTATTTTAAAGTATTTTTTTTTATTTCTTAATTTTTT